TTCCTATAAAAAAAAAAATATATCTAAATGTACGAATTATAAGAAAATTTTTAAATCTTAAAATATATACCGATACGGATAAAAAATATCTTACTTACGAAAATGATATTCATCAGTGTTAAAAAAAATAAAATAAGAAAATGATAAGAGTTTTGCTTGACTCTCTTACTTAAGTCATTAAATCTAAGACCTACCATAAAGCAACTAAGATGAAAAGAATCGACTGTAAATAAATATATATACGTAGCATAAAGATAAATATGTCACATTAATCTTAGATATATGTAGCATAAAGATAAATATCTTTCGACCAACAAAAAAAAAAAGAAGATAAATAGCTAGCATTCAATTCCCAAACTGGACAAATCGAAAGGAAAACGAGCAGAGGGAAAAATAAGATTGTATAAATTGTGACCGTGTACGTTTTTGAATTATGGATTTTGATTCATACAAATTTTCAAGTCAAATAAAATGCTACGTACTATCATATGAACAAAAGTTGATGAGGGAGATTTTAAACAGAAGGTCAATAAGAACTCAGAAGTATTATTACCACAAAGGAACCTCTAGAACTTGTGTGCTCAGGTTATGATTATCGCATATTCGCATGTCAAAGCTTACGAATGATTAATTTTATTTAACTGGCCTAATCATCCTATACCAAATTAAAATCCCATCTATTCGGACTCGGACAAGTCTTGTTAGGATCCTCGTCTGTGGTTTCGCATATTATGACAAAAAAAAACAAAAACAAAATACTAATTACATATGGACGAGTACATGTCAGCTTCAATTGATTGAGAGACGAGTACATGTCAGCTTTAATTGATTGAGAGACGAGTACATTTCTTTGTTGAAGTTAACTTCTGGGTTCTAACGTCCTTTTAACTCCATTCAATGTAATGTATGTATACTATTTGATTATTGTTTGCCAAATGGAAATTATTTCATTACTAGGGCGAGGGAGTCAAAGAGAGTAAATCGCGTGTGAAAAAGAGTTAGGAGGGAATCTCACAACATTTCTTTCCGTACTAAAATAATATCATTATTTTTCATATGTTCTATTCCGGATTACCATATGCGTCCCATGCCAACTTTTTTCTTTCTCTTTTCTATCAACATAATTGACATCATGACCGTTGAATATTTTACTTAATCACGGAACCATGCTAGTGAGATATCTCCTTTTATTGAAATGGAAATATTATCCTTAACAGATATATCTGAATTAAAGACAAAAATAATTTATATGTGTGTGTTTGACAGTTCTCCCAAGTCCCAAGTCACTATATTTGCGGGTATTCATGTCACTTTTTATACCACTAGACTCTTCTTTCATCTAAAAAGTATATTTAGAATTGTCTTCAAGCTATGTCTGTTAGACTGTTCTCCCCAAGTCACATGCATACACAACTGCTTCTTCACTTCGACTGTG